GCGAATTATTATATTTTCCTTACCCTTATAAATTATAATTAAGTTCTCTATCTTCTCTACGAAGGAAACCTTCTGCATACATAAACATACCGCTTATTTAAGTTGAGCATTTTAAAGAACTGGCGTAATACTATAATAATGAGAGAAAAGAATTCTATCATTGGTATTTCTCATATCGGAATAAAGATAGGTGTATTCAAAAATTATTGTGAGAAAAGTTTGTTAAATAGCTATTGTATTAGCGAAATGTTATCTATCTTCAATATAATACCTGACAGTTACAGACTAATGCTCAAAATCAGATAAATAGGATGATAGTTATTATAGTAAGAAAACAAATTCACATTAGCAAAATGCTACGTGAAAAGTTTGTCTTTCAGTTAGTAATTAAGCAAAGAGATCAGAATATTTTAAATTTGCGACAACTAAGGTTACTTATCTAAACTCATTTTAGATTTGGCTAAATGTTTAAACTTTTAGCTTTGCTAATTTTTACTAAGTATTTGATATAGTTTCTCTATTTTATAAGTTTTGATATAGTTTTACCTTTTTCTGAATTTTGCAGATTTTTTAATAAGATTAAATATAATTTAACCAAGTTTTACCTTTACATTTAAATGTTTATCTAAATTCTTAATTTCGCCTAGTAACTGTAGCTAGCATCCTTAACATAAAACCAGATATCTAAATGGCTATAGAACCCTAATATAGAATTTGATATATAAATGACTCAGAAATAAGAAGAAATACGTAGTATTTAAATTATATATATGGTTTTAGATTATATATGTATGTGATAATTAGATTATATTGTGATAATATTATCATATCAATATAAAAAACACAAATAGCAAGAAAGATCTAAAGATATAGCTAGAATGAAAAGAAAGAATATATAATATAAGAAACTAGTAGATCATATGTAATATTTAGATTATAAATTCTAAATTATATGTGGTACTCAGATTATATATTTTAGATTAGATGTGATATTTGGATCATATGTGTTATTCAGATTACATGTGTCATTCAGATTACATGTATTATTCAGATTATATATGTTATTCAAATTACATGTAATACTATAATCTAAGACAAATGGAATATCACATATGATATAATTATATCATATATAATATCTTACTAGCTTTATAAGTATTATATATTTTTATTTTATTTTTTAAAATAAAATATTTAAAAATAAATTTATTTTAATAATTTTTTTTTTTATAAAATAAGACTTTATAATCAAAATTTTAAATCTTCTGAATAATCAATATTTTGTTTTGTTAACATTCTAATAATCTAATATAAAAATAGTATTTACTTTACTTAATAAAATCAGTAGTAATTATTTTTAAAACTTGTTAAATTACTTAAATTATATTATAAAATTTTATATATTATAAAGTAAGTTTACATAATATATTTATTATATGGATTTGATTTTTTATAAATTTTAAAAAAATTATGATAATTTAAAATTTAGAATAAAGATATTTAATCATTTTCAAAAAGTTGATAAAATTGAGAATAAATACAGTCATATCTCTCTATAGCGAATTTTTATATAACGAATTTTTTGGACAACTATATTAAATTTACCCTCGTTATAACGAACTAGCCAATCAAATTCTTTAAAAAATTCACTATAGCTCTATAGCGAAGTTGAAGTTCAGGACATAAAATTCGTTATATCAAGGGTTAACTGTATTATTACTTTAATTATGGTTTTTTATTTTAAATATAAAATAGAAAATTTAAAATTAATATTTTAAATGTAAATTATAATATCTTAACAAATGTTTAATTTTATTATTATGAAGCTTGAATATAAATGAAATCAAAATTAATAATATTATATTAATATAAAAATTTTAGAAAAATCAATATTCTTTTAATAAAAAATCAATTAATTAATTTGAATAAAATATTTTTGAGTTTTTGAATATAGGTATTACCAATAATAAAAGATCTAAATATATTACTTAATATATATTTAGAATTTGTATCAATGTTATATCAGTTGAAAGATTTTGGTTATATATAAAATTTCTATATAATAAACAACATAATTGATTACATAAAATATAAAATTTTAATTTTATTGATAATTATATTAATTTATATTTTAATTATATTTTTAAAATAGTATGAAAAAGCTTTTAATATGAACAAATAATATGCTTTTATTATTACTTAACATAAAGAAAAAAATATAATTAATATTTAAAAAGAAAATACATAAAAAGTAATATTTAAAAAGAGGAAATTATACAAGAAGTTTTAGATAATAATGAAATAATAATAAAACTTAAATTTTAAATTGATTGAAAATTAGAAATATTTATTATTACAAGAAGTAAACAAGCTGAAATTGATTTGGATTTTGACATTAAAATTTATTATTTTAATTAATCAAATATATTTATTATGCATTAGATTAAGAAGTAAAATGAAATATTGGAAACATTTTATTGATAATTTAGAAATACTATTTTTTATTGAAATGGTTATAATTATTTATAATATAATTAAATATAATTATTATTTTTTTTAAAAAAATTTGATTAAGATTTATAAATTTATATTTTTGATTTTATTTAAATAAATAAATTTAAAATTTAAAATTTAAATAAAAATTGATTTTTATTAATTATATAAACTAATATTAAATTCTAAATAATTAAAATCTAATAAATTGATTATATATTAATTTATCAAAAATATCAAAACAATTAAAATAAATTACAATTACTTGTTAACCAATGATTATAAAAAAGATGAAATATTTATTATCATGTCAAATGATACTATAGCATCAATAGATAACATATTAGCAAATTACAATATATATATATATATTTTGAAATAACTATTTATCTATCGATCATAAATTTTTGTTATACTACCATTTGATGCAGCTTGTTATAATGATTCTAATAAGCTATATTTCATCTTTTACAATTACTGGTTACCAAATCATTGCTGTTTAACTTGTTTGAATTAGAATTATCAGATTGGTGTATATTGATATAAATATATATTTTGCTAGTCAAAACTTGAAAAAAATTTTGACCATTTTGGCCATAGCCAAATGGCCAAGTGTCAACCCTGACATAAGATAATAACATTCTTCTATCATTTTTTTTATTATATTCCTACTGCGGAATAATAATTTTTTCTTGGATATCAGAAATTAATTTTCTAATGAATTTATTTAATAAGATTTGTTTTTTTTTATAAATGCTATTATTTCGCATGGCACATAGGTTTGAGAAAAATGTTAAAGATTAATAGGAATTAATAAAAGAGTTGATAAAAACTTTAGGATTCGATGTTTTTTTTTATAAAGCATGATCTTGAGCTCAAATTTTATATAAAAAAAGCTTTTCGTGTCCCTGCTATTTTAATTTATACAAACTCGGTTAGAATAAAAAAGATATATTTGGAATGAGAAATGTAAAAAAAAATTGCCAATTACTGCGGATTATCAATACTTATACTGTCACGTGGTTATGAACAGAAATTGGTTAGTTTGCGGTTTATAAAATGTAAAAAATGAAAAAATGTAAAAGCAAAATTGTAATTTTCTTTCAAAAAAAAATTTATTCCGTCTTTTTTTTCATTAAAAATGGGTATTCTAGAAAAAATTTCAGAGATTGAAAAAGAAATATCAAGGACCCAAAAAAATAAAGGTAATATTAAAATGATTTTCAAGTCGTTCTAGCAAAATGAAGATTTTTATTTTATTAAAAAAAAATACTTTTTTCATTATTATTATTATTATGATTAATTAGCTACCGAGTATCATCTTGGTTTGCTAAAGGCAAAGTTGGCAAGGTATAGAGTTCAATTATTAGAACCGACAAAAGGTGCCGGAGTGAAGGTAAGTCTTAAAATTTAACTTACGTTTCAATTGATTTCTTCCAGTATTTAAAAAGAAAAAAAAATCATATAGGGAGAAGGATTTGATGTTATGAAATCAGGAGATGCCCGTGTAGCCTTAATTGGGTTTCCATCAGTTGGTAAATCAACATTATTGAATAAACTCACAAAAACCCATTCTGAAGCCGGAGCATACGAATTTACAACACTTACGTGCATACCTGGAAAGATAGAATATAATGGAGCAAATATTCAATTGCTCGATTTGCCAGGAATTATTGAAGGAGCCTCACAAGGTTTGATGATTTTTGATTAGATCTATTCCCGATTTGCCCTTTGAGAATATAGAAAGTCGAAATGAGATCCCTTTTTAAACCTTTTTTAGGCAAAGGTCGCGGTAGGCAAGTTATTGCCGTTGCAAGAACAGCAGATTTGATTGTAATGATGTTAGATGCTACAAAAAGTAGACAACAACGTTTTTTATTAGAACGTGAGTTAGAGGCGGTTGGCATTCGATTAAATTGCGAAAAACCGAATGTCTATTTCAAGGTTTTATTTACGAAATCCACCATTTAAGCAAAAAAAAAATTTATTCTTATAGAATTCTAACATTACTTCATTTAGGTTAAAAAAGGCGGTGGAATCAGTTTTAATGCTACAGTAAAGTTGACACATTTGAACGAAAAAATGGTTTATCATATTTTACATGATTACAGTATCCTTTATACACTTTTTTTTAAAAAAATATTAAGCCAAAATGTCAATATTTTATCTTTAACTTCAAATTTACTCTTAAATTTTAAGAGATATTCAATGCCGAAGTGCTAGTACGCGAGGATATTTCAGTTGACGAATTTATTGATATTGTGTTAGGAAATAGGAAATATATAAAATGCCTTTTTGTTTATAACAAGATAGATTCAATAACAATTGAAGAATTGGATAAATTGGCTCATGAGTACAACACTATCGTCATCAGGTTTTATAATTAATAAATTATATTTTATTTAATAATATTCTTAAAAAAATTATTTAATGATAGATTTCTTTTTTTTTAGTTGTGAAATGGATCTAAACCTTGATTATTTGATTGATCAAATTTGGAAACATTTGAATTTATTGAGGGTCTATACTAAAAAGAGAGGAGAATATCCTGATCTTGTAGGTGGATTGATTGTTAGGAAAGGTGCTTCTGTTGAACACGTGGTTCGTATAATCTTATTACGTATCAAGGTCTCCTTTTTTCATCTTCGTTGTACCTAGTTTTAATAATGTGCTTGTTATTAGTGTCATGCAATTCATAGATCGTTAGTTGATGAATTTAGATACGCCTTGGTTTGGGTATGTTATTCTTATCTTTAAATAATATTTACTTTGTTAATTGATCTTAATACCATTTTATTTTCGAATTTAGGGAACTTCTACTAAACATAATCCACAAAGAGTTGGATTATCACATATAATAGACAATGAAGATGTCATTCAAGGTATGACTTTAATCAAAATACGGTACATATTTATTTTAATTAATTGGCTTATTAATTTATTAATGTATAGTTGTCAAGAAGAAGTGAAGTGGATAGAAGATTTATTATATTTATTGCTACAAGCTTGCGTAATAAAATTTAATTTAACTTTTGGAAAAGATTTATGAAATACTATACAATCACTCTAATGTGATATCACATTTATAATTGATGATGAAAGAACTGGTCGGATCACTTGATGAAAAAAAAATATATTATACAGTATATATGTATTCGGTTTTTCATTTTTATATACAATATTTATTTTTTTTACAATTATCGTTATACGTAGAAATATTTGAATTCAATTATTTAACCCTAATGATAAAATATGCAAAAACGAATCACATAAAGTTCACATGACGGATAAATATCTCGATAGATTTGATACAAGAATCCTGAAGTATTGGATACTTACATATATAATTACTTTTGAATTTATTTGGCATAGAATCTGGCATATAATCAATTATTGGTAGTTGCAAAAATTAGTAATTTTACAATTTAAGAATTCTCAATATATTCTTTTATTTCTTGTAAAAATCATCATCGCGATTTAACGAATCAAAAACCGTCATGGCGTCATGAAATATTATATCATCGTTATCCAATTCAGCATTATAATCACTACTTACATTAGCATTGTTCGTTTAAAATCCTTTACTATATTTTCATCAAATTTCTCACCGAATTCTAATGATAAACAGACACGACCCGCAGTTGAGCCTTCATTATTTCCAATTTCTCGCACACCGGTAGTTTTTGTTTCTTCAGGCCCAAAAGAATTTATTTGTTGTGGATTTCCCATTGATGAAGTTTGTGAACTCATTTGTGTTGAAGAAGAAAATCCTTCGTTGATAAGGAATTGAAAAAAATTACCAATGCCTCCAAAGTTTATCGCTAAGTTAAAAAAAAAGAAAAAAAAATTTTAATAATCCTGGTTGGTATGTTTGAAAAATCATAAAAAAAAAACAATTTTTCCCTTTTCCTTACTTGTAGTGGCCAGCATATACAACAAAACATTTTCAAACTATGTTAAAAGAGATGTTAAATTAGAACGTTATTGATAAATAAAAAAAATTAAATCCTTTTTTTATTTTTTTTTATTTTTTTACCATTGCAAAACTACAAGCGTGATAAGTTAGAAGAGGGATCTGGTTGAGTTTACATTAGAACAAGATTAGTTAAGAGGGTTTTAAAAGAAGGAATTTATTTTGATCTTACTTACGAATTGTAAAATGAATGTAAAGATGTATGATATTAATTTTCTCAAGGCTCGTTTTTCAATATGAGCTCGTCTTGGCGTAGAATTATTTGAGGTAAGTAAATCATCAAGTTTTTGAACTTTGAAATAAACTTTTATATAACATACGATAATCGTTAATAAAATTAAAAGAATGATTAAGAACATGATGATAGGTATGATGATTTTATGATGTCTTCCCGCGCACCTAAATAAGATATAAACATTATTATTTATAATTATCCAAAAAATAAATAAATAAAAAAAACTACCAACCAATATTTTTGTTGACCGACTTCATTTACCGAAAGACATACGACAATAATCGATAATGCAGTCGTTAAAGTCCAAAGTTTGTAATCGTATGGCCCGAAATCTATATAAACCTCTTTGCATACGCGAAACCATGTTGTCAAAGCTATAATACCCACAAGGAACATGTTGAGCGTAAATAATGTTACTACGCTGGCTCCGATTATTCCACACATCGGATTCGACCATGGAAGTTTCCAGACAACAGTATAGCTCTAGAGTGCGATTTTCAAAATATTAGATATTTATTTGTTTATTTATTTTAAAGATTTCTCTTTCTAAAATAATTACCAAATTTATTGTGTATCCGAGCGAAAGGAACGCATCTTACATAAGGAAAGAAGGAGCTTAATATCCCACTTTTGGAATCTTATTTTTTATAATTATTTATGGGACTTACCAGTTAAAGCAATATAAAAAGGAAATCTTAAAGATAAGGAAATGCTCGTTCTTCCATCACGTTTCCATTGAACATAAATTCCTAAACCATTCAGAAATAAGACGTAATTTTTAATAACCTTTTTCTTTGGTGAATTCGATATTAATACAAATACTTACTATATATGACATACAAGCTGCCAACAAAATTTAATTGCAACGTAGTTAGTCCAAAACCCATGACTATGTTAAAATCTCGAACGGCATCTGGACCGAAAACTTCTTTGTTGTCAAGTTTTGGTATCTCATCATAATGGATGTATGTGTCATCTGTAAATTCCGTATCTATATGCGTTATAACTTGATCATCTGCATTACAATACGAAACGAGAAACATGATGTAAATGAAAGCGGTGGACTTAATCATGATTGAAAGTGCGAGACGAGGAATATATAAAGGTAAAAGGGTGAATGTAACAAAAAGATATATGTATATTGTTTCGAAGAAAAAAATAATTTTTTTTGAAATTTAAGGAGTGTTCGGGGACAGATGATAATTCGAATCTGTTTTTCGTACTTAAAATTAAAACATCATCTAACTGCAAAAAGTCACCTAATTATTATTATTTTTTTTACAGAAACATTTAAAGCATTTTTATCATAAAGGAAAAAAAAAGCTTATTTATTAGAAGACTCTTTATTAGATTTAGATTATTATATGAATTTGCTTGCGTCAACTATTTATTTATTTACATATTTCTGTATTTATTTCATTAATTTGACTTTTAGATTAAACGAGCAAAATGTTTATTGGTAATTAGTGTAGTGTTACAAACATTTTATTCATTGGTCATTTTAACACGCATTTTATGGCGCATTTGTGTTTTTCAAAATACGAAAAAAAAATTTTTTGATTAGTTATCGATTCTTCGTGTTTTTGGTTGGTGTTCTTTCATTCTTCTATTAATTGTTATAGTAATATTCAAAGTTACTGATCGAATTATTGGAACCGAATCGTAAAACAGGATTTACTAGGTGAACCCTTAAAAAAATCTAAGATTTCGGTTCGTTAATGCAATCTTCGTTTTGTAATACCGGGAAATGCATTAAAGGCCCGAATTACGTGAAAAAAAAATAATGAGAAATTTCGAAAATTTATATTCAATATCAGCCACATCATTTATTTTGAATTCATTCGTGTATCACTCTTTGTTTGTTTCTCATAATTATTATTCTCTTTGCATTATCTCTATAAATTGTCAATAATGAATTAAACGGAGAAAGTAAATATTTGCTAACAATTTTGCCCGGAATTGAATTAATTTTTTTTGATTGGTTCGAAATGAAATTCGTTGCATTCTTTTTTTTCCTAAAAAAAAAAAGAAAGTTTCACGTGACTAGCTGTTGATCGTACAACATTAATACGTGCCGTGCCACGAAGGAGGATTTTAATGTTCTCTTTCGCTTTATTACGTTTAATTACCTTTTTTTATTTTAAAGAAAAAAACTTTTGACATTTATATTTATTAAATCATGAAAGCTCAAGAAACATTATTAAATGAATTAACCTTGGATATTGCTGTACCTAACGGGATCATTCAATGTACCAAGGAAGATGTTGATTCTATTTTTACTACGAAAGCAAGAACTATCGCATATTATGGTTCGGATTTCTCGATCCGTTATTATTAATTTCGATTCATTAGCTCAATCACTAATTAATCCCGTTCTTTGATTATAAAGACGAGACGCTTTATTTTTATCTCATAATCGTTCTTCCTTCCGATTCCGATCTTTCTGATCATGATGCTGCAACAAATTATTTTCATCAATTAGAGATATTTGTTGAAGCATCAATTATTGATGCAAGTACTTTATCTGTTCCTTCACCGAATCCTCCAGCTGTATATCGTTTGCCCCCTCCTGGAAAATCTCGGGAAAGTTCATCAGCTACTTCACCATCAATACCTGGAACTCCTTTACCTCCCTTGATGGATAAAAGGATTAGCAAACCTACGGAAGGTGCTGTAATATATTCATATCTATATAACCCAAATACAAAGGATCGTCAAATGGTGGTCCTTGAAAGGAATGGTTGTTGGAATTGTGTTTTCCCTTTAGCCGTACCCGTAGGTGAGCTCACATTATTTTCTTAAATTTGTTATTTATGTATTTAAATTTTGGAAAATCATGATTATATGATATTTATTTATATTAACCAGATATTAATTAAATTCTAATTGTAGCTTATGTTAAAACCCGAGCCCAGACACCCGCATTAGCGCTTAACGCAATAGTTACGCATAAGCCTCAACCCAAGGTTCAAATTGATATTTTAAAATCACCGGAAGCCGATTTATACTCTCCTGAAAATTTTGGCAATATGAATCTATTAGAAGGATTAAATGATGGTTTGTGAAGGATGATTTTTTAAATTTACCTTTTATTGTTAAACTCAAAATTTTCTTTTTTAAAATAGATCCGTCTTTTGAAGACTCTACCAAAAGTCTTTTGTTACCTCCATCACGGTTATATTCTTCAGATGCTAAAAGAGCAAATTCATCATACTCGTCTCCTACGATGAGACGTGATATTCGAAAAATTTTGTCAGTGAAATCAGCGTTGAACGTTCGTATGAGAACTACCAGCGTATCACCCTTGGATAATGCTTTAATGATGTCTGTCGAATTAGAAAATAACACAGACGCGGGTGGTTCATTTTCTGTTGAGGTGGTTAAAGTCGAGATTGCTTACGGTTTTGTGACAAGATATGATTGGGGTCCCAAGGATAATAAAGCGGTAATTATGTCACTTCTCAATGTTAGAAATTCATTATGTGAACGCTCTAATCCTGTTTTCAATTTATCCAATTTAGGACAAGTTCCCATTAACCCTTAATCCTGTTGATCAAGTGACATTTTTATATAACATAACAATCCTTGATGACCCTTCGTTTCCGAAATTAGTACCAACACCTTACCCCACACCCAACCCTCACTCACGGAATCAATCTCGTCGTTCTTCTGTAGCTTCAGTATATTCTGTTAATTCCTCCTATGCTCCACCTTCTGAAGATCGTCAGCGACATGTGTCTATTGTTGTTAAGGGATCACCTGTTCACGATGACGTGAAGAGTAGAAGTATTGAGTCTAGGTGGAATTGTATGTTAGATTTATCTAATTTACGTAGACGTGAAGATTCTTATCAACCGCCAATCCCTCAAAATACAAATCAAAAGTCCTTGTCACTTTTAACAAGACCAGGTCAATCACATTCTCCTTCATCGTCAAGGAGTGCTACTTTATTTTCACCAACTGGATCATTGACACCTACAGCCTCCAGAAATTATTTCTCAACTGACAATAATGCTCGTGGAAAGAAGCCATATGCAGGTCTTCCCACAATACCTGATCATGATAATATAGGTATTGGAAATGGAATCCTTTCAAGCGGAAGGACTCCTCTATCTGAAAAGTCCATGGAAGTGGAAGTTGGTGATGGTGTTGTCGTGTCATTCTTGGGTATATTTATTAATTTCTTATTCATTTCTCAATACAAGCCGATCTTCTTTGATTCAAGTTATATTTTTTATTTTTTTTAGTTGCATCTAAAGTGGTAGTCGGCAAAATATTCACAATACATGTCTTTGTCGTCAACAGGTCTAAACATATACGAAGGTTTACTGTAATGGTTCCTAATAAGAAACGGCCTAATGAAAAGTAAGGATTACCCTATTCCTCGAACATTAATTTTATTCTTTATCCTTGAATCTATAGAAATGTTTGTTATTTTAATAAATAGGGCGATTAGGAATTTAGTAGCAGCCCCATTAGGAGCAAAAATAACAATACAAACTGAACAAATGGTTGACGTGAATGGAAATCAGTCAAACCAGTTGGAGCCATTCTTGGATGAATCAGGTAATTTGAGAAATTTTTTTTTTTTTTAAAAAAAAAAAAAATAGGTAAGGTTTCTAACGATATTTTACCATGATTACTCTAGATTTCATAAAAAAGTATCTAGAAACAGAGACGCCAGATGCAGATATTGTTTGTTTGGAAAATAATGTCAGAATTGGGTAAAGATTTCATAAATATCTATGGTCTATTTTTTTATATAAAAAAAAATTAACAAATACAATTTATTTAATTTTATTATTTAAGTCCATTGCATCCTTCAACATGCGAATCGGTCGCATTGCACTTCATTGCCATTAAAGAATCATTGCACATGATTGAACTTGTACAATTAGTTGACAATGATACAGGATTTATTACAAACTTACGTAATGTATTGGAAATTCATGTTGCTAAATCTTTGGATCCTAATTCAAAAAAGGTTAATAAAAGATCTTCGGGGGTAAATAATACCAATTACTCTACTACTTATCCTAGTAGAGAAATTGAAGTAAATTAATCACAATTTTTTTTATTTATTGCATCCTAAACTTTTGATTATATCAATATAAATACACATGTAAGTATATTTAAGGAAACCATATCATATATATATATAAATGGGACTTGTTTATAGTTTTGAAATTTAGACATCAATAATAAAGTTCATTGCATTCGTAAATTAACATTCAATTATTAAATGTAATCATCCAAAATAATGATTCAGACTAAGGAGAAATACGGTCTATTTTTATTGTTCATGAACTTTTTAATATTATTTGGTAAAAATTTTAAGGTCGCTATGGCGATCTACCCCAGGAATTTGTCACGCCCCCACTTTTTTATTTTTACTATTTGTCCTGGAGACAGAATTTGAAAATTCCAATTTGTCATGGTTAATTTCGGCCAAGTTTTATAATGCCAGCCAAAAAAATTAGTGGGGTGAAATTTTTGTGGTAAAACTGGGGTATCTTACCCAGTATCACCCAAGATTTTCCACCCCACGTGATATGTACAATTTGTCACTTACGTCACGCCTCCCTGATTTCATTTTTACTATGTATTCTGGGACTTGGAAATTTTTTACCACTAAAAAAATTTTTGTTTCACTTCCCCTTTTTCAGGTGTAACCGTCCCATATAAGGAAAAATGTTACACAATTTATTAAAAAATTTTTATACAGTTTAAAATAAGTTTTTAAAGATCATGTGTTAGCCTATTTTTGCAATGAATCGTGAGTAAATAAAATAGATAAACTTGAAGCTTTAGCACCTTATTGTAAGAATAACTGTTAAATCCATTTGAATCCAAATCTAACAACTTTTATAATTTGATTTGACTCAGCAAAAAAATGTCTGAAGAGAAGCATTGTATGAAATGTAAAATCATTGAGTCAGTTAAATTTTGTCCATTAAAAGTAAACAAATGAAAAAAAGTTGAAATAACTAACATAGTGAAGGTAATATAGACAGAAGGGATTATTTTATATATAAATCTTGTAGAAAATCCATTAAAAAGACCTAAGAGAAAAATTATGGTTAAAGAAGTTATAGATAAAAAGCTACAACTGAGTAAACCACAGATGAGAAATTGTAAATATAAAATTTAAGCTTATTATAACTATTAAAACTATAGCAATAATATTTTATAATAGAGAATATTTGAAAAAAAAAGTCTAATCTATGAATTTGATGAAATGTGAAATTTGCTTTAAAAGATTAAGCTAAGCTTAAAAGATTTTTTTGACTAACTTTATTTAGAAGTTCAGCTACTTAAATATAATAAGCAAACATAAACTGTATAAATAAATTAATGGTTTTTATATGTTATCTTCTTGCGTTATTAAATAATATGAAATAATAGTTTTTATACTATATATTATTTTCTTGTATTATTAAATAATATGCAAATTAATACCTTTAAGATTGATTTTATATTCTATTTAGGTTTAGTAAGTATAAGCAATGAAGGCTTGAATATAATGGCAAATCTTTGCACTACTATAATATCAAGAGCAATAGACCATAAAAGAAAAAATTTTACATTTTCATGAAGAATATATAAAAATGCTCTTACAAAATATCTATCACAATATTCATATTCAATGACAATCTACTACTAGTACATTTTGGGCAGTATATATTAGGGTTCTGCAATTCAATTTTATTTAAATATTTGATTTGAAAATCAAATCAAATCAAATACAAATTCAAATTTATATTTGATTTTATTTGATCAAATTCAAATCAAATACAAATTCAAATTTATATTTGATTTTATTTGATCAAATTCAAATCAAAGAATGATTTATTTGATCAAATCCAAATTAATATTTGATTTGATTCGATCAAATTCAAATCAAGTATTCAAATATTTGATTTGATTTGAATCAATAATAGAATCATCTCCAAAGCTTCAGGAGTGTCTCTTATTAAGAAAACTATAGTAAAAAGTGCTTCTGTGGCTTCAGAAATGCCTTTTTTACTAAGAAAACCATAGTAAAAAGCATCTTCACAGCTCCAGAGACATTATTTTACTTAGAAATATAGTAAAAAATGTCACTGCAGCTTTAGAGACGCTATTTTACTAAAAAAACCATAGTAAAAAATGCCTCTACAGCTTCGGAAAGGTCTTTTTACTAAGAAAAACATAGTAAAAAATGCATTCACAGCTTCAGAAACATTATTTTACTTAGAAAACATAGTAAAAACGCCTCTGCAGCTTTGGAGATGCTATTGTTATGCCAGTTCTTTAAAACGCTCGACTTAAATAAGCGTTATAATTACATGTGCAGAAGGTTTCCTTCATAAGAAAATAAAGAACTTAATTATAATTTTAAAAGTGCAAAGAAATATGATAATACGCGTAGAATAAATGATTAACAAACAAAATTATAATACTGTCTCTATCAGCGCGTCTGTATTAAACAGTTTATTTATTAAAGAATTTAAAACTACTAAAACTAATATAAGACAAAACTAAAATGATCTCTCAATACTTAATCCTAAATTACTCCTATTTATATAAAAACTATCCTATATAACATTATAATAATTTAAATAAAGGAAATAAAGAAAAATAAGATAATGAATAAAATAGATAAAATAAATAGAATAAAATAGATAAAATAAATATAATAAAATAAATAAAATAAATAGATAAAATGAATTAAATGAATTAAATAAACTATAACGTCAATATTTTCTATTATACAAATCAATTTTACTACTTTTTTTTAAGGTGTTACGTTACCGACTAAAGATCCCATTGCATTTAAACCTAGTCAACAAGTTGATACTAGGCACTATTAATGGTAAAGTGCAGGACCTAATCAATCTCAGCTATTTTCCTATTTTTCAAGTTATCCACCATATCATACGCATCCCCCTCAATGTTCCTATCTAGGTATGACATCCTAACTAGGCAACTCAAACCGCATGTTAGATCCGTATTAGGTACTTAGCATCAAAGGTACTGTTAAATTTGGATAGAAGGATCATCTCAATCATAGTGAACGTTATCACTAAATTTACCAATGGTCTAGTGAACTATAACCAAGATCCAATTACTTGATTTAGCTTTATCACTACTATATAGAGAGCCGCAGGGTTCATGGGATAGTATCACAAGATTTGCCCAAACAGTGATCTCCAGTTATGCATATAGATCATATCAATCAGGTGACTTTGATACCCATAACGTCAAATAACTCAGAAATTGAACCTGACCTCTAACCCTAGTGATAGCTTGATTAGATAGTGCTGCGGGTGTGCCATGCAGTTTATTATCACCGTTGATCTAATCTACTAAGTTCTAGTCAATCACCTCCTTAATTTATATACAATCTTGTAATCATATACAGAAATAAGGACCTCTGCCAAGTGAGACGTAAGACTGTATTCATTACAGACCAATCAGTGAAGGCCAAGTTTCTGTCGATTCAAGGCTTTATTTGCATCTACTTGTTCCAATATTGTGCAGTATTTAGGCATGATCAATGTTGATCGATAGATCAATCAACCAGATTTGTACGCATGTTAGTACATATGCCCATTATATTCAGTACATATGAAAGTCTTATAAAAATTATCTAGTTTATGTATCGGCTGATACCTGAACTGATGGCCTATTGCTATGTTGTCAACGTCTGAAATCAACCTTACTGCGCCAATCATTGATGACCTATGGAATGATGACGTAATAAGTACTGTGCCAAATGATCTACAGAATCCCTGATTTCCCTGATT